TGTAGACAGCTCGAGCAACCAACTGTGCGCTTGAGCTCACTTGACGAGCTCCCAGTACTTTTGCAGTCTTTACAGAAGGCTCGAGCAACGAAGTGTGCGCTCGAGTGAACCCTCTGTACATTGTTGGACTGCTAGAGCGACCAAGAGTTGGCTCGAGCACAGATAAGATCCATCTAGTACTTTTGCAGACCTCTATGACTGCTCGAGCGACCAATAGTTGGCTCGAGTGATGACCCCTGTTTCAGCATATTTTGGTAAGCTCTTCTGTGTTCAAATCTTCGTTCTCATCTTCTCTGGAGCATTGTTAGGCATGAATTGTGACTCATTAAGGAACTAATAAGTGAGAACCAACATGAATGATTGAATTACAAAGAGAAGATGAATTAATCGATTCGAACAATGTGTTCCAATATGTGTATATGTGAAATGTGTAGGTTTGAACATTGTGGACGAATATCAACCTCCTCAAGGAGAGTAATATCCTTTATAATGATATGTTCGAAAGATGTTTTGAAAATTTCCATGCGATGATGATTTTGAAATGTTATTTTATATGAATAAATGAATATCCCTTTTTGAAATGTATTGGTGGCATCCATTACTAGACCCTCGCTTGGGGAAAACAATACCATGGCCCATTGACCCTCGCCTAGGGGAAACAATAGCGTGGCCCATTGATTAATAGACCCTCACCTAGGGGAAACAATGCCAGAGAGCATTGACATTTGCCTCGAGGGAAACAATACCGTGGCCCAATGATTAATACACCCTCGCCTGGGGGAAACAATACCATGGCTCATTGTATTAATTGAAAATAGAGATCTTTGATGTTAGACCTTAATGGTCCACACTGATTATTGATTGACCAGTTGTGGTCCTATTGATTGACACTAGTGAACCTATTGGCTTTGGCCCATTGTTATATTGTTACTCTATTGGATGTACCACGTAAGAGACTCCATCAAATATTGTTATCACAAATATTTATATGATTGGATATACGAATTGTTATGGAAATTGGAAGATATGTTTTGTGAGATGATGGACTCTATTATAGCAAATGTTTTAACATGAATGTGTAATATGAATCATTCTGGAATTGTAAAACATGTTTTATATTATGTTGGACTTCATTCATGAACCTCTTTATTTTGGTGTTACTCATTGGGCATTAGCTCACTCCGTATATATATATATATATAAATATGTATGTAGATGAGCAATGAGACGTGCAACCTCATCCCTAGTAAACCTGTGAGAGGATACCAAGTTTTGAGGAGTCAACCAAGGATGCCTCACGCAAGAGACTTTTGTCTTTTTGTTTTTGCTGGTCATGTTGTTGACCGTGCATTGTAAACAAGCTTTTGGGTTTGTATAATAATGATGTTGTGAATGGTCTTGGTTGATTTCTATCTCCTGGATGTGATTGGTATGAGTTATTACTTATATGAGGAGTTTATGTTTATGGCACATACGCATAGCTCATTGGACATAATTTTATAGTCTGCTTCCGGTTCTAGCCCCGTTACTAATTAAATATTTCTGTTAATTCTGTCTTCGAGACCAGGTAACCCAAGATTACTGGCCAGTTACAGTCTGTACCCATGGGGACGGGTTTGGGTCATGACATCAACCTAACTCCAATTACCAATTAAGGTATATTCCATATACCCCAATACTACACTAAACAAACCACATTATCTTTTTCCAATTTCTTGGTTAGAAGCTTAGAGTTCTGAACCCTATATTCTAAACATCATCAACAACACCTAATCCACCACCAATTTCAACCCATAACACATAACTTAAACCCCAAACCATCCCATATGAATTTTAACAAAATCAACTAGAAACTATATTTTTAAATTCCATAAAAATCATCATAGGTCTATCTGTGATGAGGTATTGAAAAGAAGTTTTAGAATCCCTACCTCTTGAAGCGAAGAGAAGAAAAATAAAAAATCCACCGACAATGAAAACACGATCCACTCAGATCAAAACGATGCCATCGCCCTGCTCTACATTTTGGTCTAAGGTTGTAGGGGTAAGAAATCGGTATAGCTAGATGAAACCCAAGCTTTTAGGTCGAAGAAACACAATAATGGAAGAAAGAGAGAGAGAGAGAGAGAGAGAGAGAGAGAAGAGAAAGAATCAGGAAAACTGGCTTTTCAACGCACTGTGGACTTATATAGACGACTCTTCACGGCTGCGGTCCAAAACCTCACGGCCGGGAACTTGCCAGTTTAGCAGGTCGTGGATGCGATGCTTAGCAGCGTGGGAGTGACTACCTAGTATACATGGTCGCGGACGCCATCGGGACCCTCACAGGCGCGACTAATTTTGTCGCGGCCTGACACCGCGGCCCTTCATGGGCAACACACTCCTTTCCCTAGCCAACCGACCTGCAGCTATGTTTTGATCGATGCTTGGCCGCGGCCTATTGCAGGCATAGCCTCCAAACTAGACCATTGTGGCCACAAGCCCCATGGTCGTCGGTGCGACCTGCCCATGTAGAAAGTTCTCTGTTGCTATTGCACACCCAGTTCAAGGCACTCCAAGGCCCTACACCACACCAACAAGGCCATAAACACCTAAGACAACCCCATGTCCTAGCCCGAGAGAATAAAATGGATCAGCCTCGACCCAGGCCACTACAGTAATGGGGTAGCTCTACTTCATACCTAAAAAACACTCACAAAAAAAGTAAAGGGGCTGGCTAGAGCAGCTTAGGGACACTTCAATGCCCAAGTTAGTGACAAGATAGTCAAAGGTGCAGAATAATTAGAAGAGGGTTTCGATTGAAGTGGTTTTGTGCTCCATTGTGTAGATTACCTCATTTTTCTAGCATGCTCCCACTAGCCGTTGAGCTTCCTTCCACTCCTTATGTCAACCCCTTTTTCTTAGGATTTGTGTTCCACCTAGCGCGGATTTCTAAAAGTTAATTGGGCCTAAGATTCAAGGGCACTTGTTTGACTAAGTTTGCATCTTCCTAAGGCGCGCTTCATGGTCCCCTATTCCTATCCTTAAACATCTGGCTACCATTCTAGTCCTGAACCTTCATGCTAGATTCAGCCCATCAAGGCTTGAATCTCTGTTTCCTCAAGTGGCAGGTCCGTCAATGTTCCAGGAAGTTATTCTGACCAGAATTCTAGTCTGGCTCAAGCGCAGCTTATTTTAACTTCCCACATAAGTGTTAGTGATTTCTCAATAAAATTTGAAGCTTATTAGCTAATATAATTAGCGTAACATGAGATGCCATTTTTGTGATACCTAAATGTTATGAAGCTACTAAACATAGTTCTAAATATCGGCCGGTACAGTACATACCGGCCGATTTGTACCGGAAAATCATAGCACTGATTCAGATATTCACCAGTATACCGGTGAGAATGGAATTCACAGCCGTAGCGTCTGAGTCCGGTACGTAGCGACATGAATTCGATATATGGGCCGATACGGGCCGTTACGGGCCGATATAGACTACTACAAAAATAGTTAAAGATCACACTTTGACAAAAAAAAATATCTCACTTTTATTGAAAATGTGATAAAAAAAAATTAGATTGATATTTTAATCACACTTAATTTGATTGAGTGTGATAATATTTATTTTTTATGTCACTTTTCAATGTGTGATTATATATATATATATATATATTTTTAATCACACATTCTAATTAAAGTGTGATTATATATACACTACTACTTTTTAATCACACTTTTTACATATATGTGATTATATATATATTTTTTAATCACACATTCTAATTAAAGTGTAATTATTTATATATTTTTTAATTACACCTTCTAATTAAAGTGTGATTATATAGACACTACTACTTTTTAATCACACTTTTTAAATGAGTGTGATTATATATATATATATATTTTAATCACACATTCTAATTAAAGTGTGATTATTTATATATTTTTTTAATCACACCTTCTAATTAAAGTGTGATTATATATACATTATTACTTTTTAATCACTGCCTAAATATGTGTGATTGTATAAAATATTCCAATTTGATTTTTATATAACATATACAATTTCTAAATTCGCGCCTCTATTCTACACTCATGAATAACAGAGGACGACTCTTTCATTTTCCAACAAAATTGAATTTCACAGACACACAGGTCTCTTCTCCTTGCCTTCTGTTTCTTAAACGACGCCCTATTTCGTTTTCTTCATCACAGCTCCGAACCACCATTGAAGTTACTCACTCAAATTTGTCTTTTCACTACTACAAAGATAATTAAAGATCATACTTTAACAAATTAAAATATCTCACTTTTATTAGAAGTGTAATAAAAAAAATTAAATTGATATTTTAATCATACTTAATTTGATTGAGTGTGGTAATATTTATTTTTTATGTTACTTTTTAATTAAGTGTAATTATATATATATTTTTTAATCACACATTCTAATTAGCATATGATTATATTTATTTTTAATGCCACTTTTTAATTAAGTATGATTATATCTTTTATGGATGGAAATTGTTGCTAATCACTACTAGATTGTATATATACGTGGACGGCTCAGATGATACAATATTTCAATGGTTTAGATGGTACAAGATCACACCTTTTTTTTTTTTAGCCTCACGTCTTAGAATTCAAATTTCAAAATCTCTCTCTCTCTCCCTACTTCTGTACATGTCGATACACAAATCTCAAAACTAGAACTAGGGTTTTTAACTTACAATGCTTCTTCGAAGTGCATCAAATCCAGTTCTAAATTCATGGCTTCCACATTCGAAAGAGTCATCAACATCCCCAGAGACATAGATTTCTTTTCAAATCCCAAAGACTCGATCGGTCTCGATGGTCTTAGTTTCTCAGATCGACGAATTGGAGAAAAAAATGACCAGAGCGATGTCGGAGACTGATCTCAGAGAGCTGTCGGTCTCCAAATGAAGGCTACATATTTTGTTTTGATATTTTTTTATATTTGCTTATCACAACTGTTTTTATTATTTTTTATCTGACATTAGACTGTGTACTTTTCTCATTATCTTTGTATCTCATATTGTTGGAATTGATTGTATGACATGAATAGGAATCTGATGGAAATAAAGTTGTGAAAGATATCATTTTTGGCCCAGGAGAAAAGAAATATCGGTTCTGTAAGGTAACCATAAGCTTCTCTATCAATTACTCAAGATCGCTCATGTTTCATGACCTATTACAAAATTCTGTGCTATTTTTCGTCTTTAGTAAAATCATGCTTTGGAATAATTTTGTCAATCTGCAGAATTATTCATGATTGTCCATCCTCGAATAAGATTACTAATCCTCTGTTTTGTTCATCAATTTTTTGAGGAAAAGGAAAAGGAAATGCAAGGGAAATCATCAATCTTTGTGTTGTTAACATGGAAAACAATGAGGAAAAGAATATGATGAAAGTATGCCGAAAAAATCTTAGTTGTAAATATCATTTCCATAGTTGTCAAATTGGGATACGAATTGAGTATTATTTTTCTATTTTTATGAGTTGAGTATTGTATCATATTGTGTATCATAAGATACTTTTAACATCTATAAAAATGGGTAGAAAAATAAATATAGTTATAGCAAACACAAATATCTTGTGAGAACAAGACACCAAACAGTGTATAGTCCTTGAAATTACAAAAGTAAGGTTCTTTGAAAGATAAAAAGCATATAAATTGTATAATCCTCAATACATAATGTATATAAAATGCAGAGTGGAGTTAGGATATGTATAAAATATTTTCATAACTAACCATTTTAGTTTAAATATTTAATTACAACTTTTAAGTTTTCAAAGAACTTGTCTATAGTAGAAAACTTTAAACTTTAACGGGTGGAAGTAGGTCTAAATTAACAACACACGATACTTAATACGTGACCAGACAAGTAGATATTTGTCAAAAAACAGAGAAAATTAAAATAGAAGTACCATATTGTTATCTAAAAAATATTATTTTTAATGAGTTAATATTAATTTACTAAAAGCAAGTTAAATTATTATTTCTTTTCTTCAAAATTGCTAAAGAAAATACTACTGCACCATGTAACTCCTAATAAACAACCCTAAAAGAGCCAGATCAAAGGACAAAAGTAAGAAAATAGTGGAAAAGACTCTGTAGTGCTTAAGTGGATGACTTATTGATTCTTTGAGCAGAGACATAAAACATACCTGATAACATAAACCTGATAGAATTCTTCTGAGCAGAGAAATGGAAAAATTCAACATTGATCTCCTGACAAAATTTAACTTGGATTTTGAGAAGGTCAAATACTCCTTTCTGTGAATGAACTGCATAGGTAATTTTCTTTGTATTCAGGTTCCACATATGCCTACTATCGTTTCCTTCTAAAATTGATGAAGAGGAAAGCAACTCCAAAATACCTATGTTCCCGAACTTGTTTCAATATTTTCTGAATTTTCAAGACTAAATATTAGGGCCTTTGATGGAGCTGTAACTCAGTCTCTTATCTTAGCAAATTGCTGATCATTTGAATCCCTTTATTATTACTAAAGTATGACGCCTAAGAAAAGTCAGCCAAATTACAGTCTGTTAGATACACGTTTGGGGATCACCAATTGAAGTCAATACACAGTGTTTTAACTCTTATGTTTCTAAATTGTATTTCCCAAAAGGTACATTAACGTGTGCATATTTGGATAAAGATTGATAACTGGTCATATAAATTTCCTTGAGTTCATGATTTATAAATCAATCATGATACTACCACAGCATCTTAATTTGCATCTTAATTTTATAAATTCTGAAAGTGTAATATGTTTACAAAATTTGTTAGTAAATAAAATCCTGAGTTTTTCTGAACTTTGGTGAGCTTTCATTGGTCTCAGTTATGGTTGGTTTCAATAAAATTATATGTAGTTCAGCTAATCCCAAGATTTCATTTTACTGGTTGCATGCAGAAAATGTCAATCATTTCCACATGCTAATCTGTTGTGCAGGAACTGATTCACTTTCAAACTATATCACTTCACAAACTTGTTCTCATTTTTCCTCTTTACAGCATATCTCAAAACAACGCGTACCTGGTCTGTCTGATGATTTGATAAAAAATGGAAAGCACTTCATATTAATACGAAATCCACTCAGTATTTTGGTAAGTTGTTTTTGTAACCTCTATTTGTCATTTATCTTAGATGATAGGCCCCTTAAATGTGTTTTTCCTTTATATTGTATCATTTCCTGTAAATTATCTATTTTTGAAAATTTTAAAAATATATTAATTTCGTATCCTGTTGACTATCTATATAAATATATTCACCTTGCTTGTTTCCATTTTTCAAAAACACTTTTCAGAAATTTTTATTTTCTTATTTTTCGTATTTTTTTTATTTTTACTGAATTTTTTTAATATTTTAAGCAGTTTTTTTACTTTTTAGACACACCTAATATAAATACACCTAAAAAGTAAAAAAATTGTAAAAAAAAATATTTAAATACCAAAAATACAAAAAAATATATATATATAAGAATTCAGTACATTTTTTTGTATTTTTATGTATTTATTAATTTTTTAAAATATTTTTTCACAAATTTTTTACTTTTTAAATATATCTAAGTAAGGTGCATCTAAAAAAGTAAAAAAAAAATGTTTAAAATTTAAAAAATATTCACTAAAAACAAAAAAAAAATACAAAAACTAAAAAAATCAATTTTCAAAAAACTTAATCCAGAGAACTTAAACCAAACACACTAATTGGTTTTGATTTTCATCATTTCCGTGACTTAATTTTAATCTGTTGAATGTTGTCAGCCATCTTTTGACAAGGTTGTGGCCCCATCGTTTCTCGAGCTAGGATTGGGAGACTTGGTCTCCATATACAGCGAGCTTTGTGGATTGGGAAAGCCCCCAGCAGTCATTGATGCATCAGAACTTCAAGAAAATCCCGAGGTTCCTAGATCTTTTTGAATTAGCCCGATAAACTTGAAGTGTTTTCTTTTTCGTATTTTATTTTTAATACATCATCTTTGATGGTGATAATTATTATGTGGAATGAGTACATTGAGTACGCAATTTGTGATAATTTTGACTATAATTTAAACATTAGCATGGTTTAGATTACCTAAATTATAATTTTTAATCTTTTTTATTTTTTTATTTTCCCATTTGTTTGCAACAAAGGATTTTTTCTTCTCTATTTTCTATTTTCCAAAAATAAAATGTTTACTTTCTTTGGTTTTGATTGGAAAAATTTATGAAGGCAATGGAAGGGTTGTGCTGGTCAATTAGCGAGTGTTCCATGAAATAGAGAGCGGGCACAAGGGCTCATAGAACAAGTGAGCCTTTTCTTTTCTTTTGTATATAAAATATATATTTTTTATGATGAAATCGATTGAAATTAGATTGATGTAAATTGATTTACAATATTATTATTGCTTGCAGGCTGCCCAACATTTAATGAAGTGGAGATGCATTTATACTGTTGAGAAGTTTTGTTGTCGTAGAGAGAACACACTGTCTATTAATTATTTCTTCCAAAATTGAGCTGATTTTCTTATCGAGTGCTATAAATGGACTTCATCTACTCAATTTAACTATCAGATTTAGTGATTCATGTCTTTCACTAGTTTTCTATACCACAACAATATTCATCATAGTAATGTTTCTCTTTATTTTGACCCTATATTCAATCTTATTTATCATATCAATGTTCAAATTTTGCAGGCCCGTAAAGATGCCACTCAAGTTGTTGCAAATTTGTTGTTGCAAATTTACAAAGACAAGAAGTTCAGTCACGGCTGATTGCTTGTGATTACTTGGAGGCAAACATAGAGCTTTTCCCCCTGTTTCTATATATATATGTCATATTTATATATGGTAATACAAACATTTTAGTGAGAATGTAAAATGGAGAAATTAGGGTTGAAAGTTTGGAGGAAGAAGAAGAAGAGAGAACTTTTGTATATATTGAAAACTAATTTATTCCCTCAACTTTACATCACTCAAATATATATAAAAAACCTAAAGTAGCAATATGACCATCGTACCCTCAACTTAAGTAAATATTAACAAGAGAACAAAAATAACTAAAAGAACTATTCTAACACTCCTCCTCAAGTTAGAGCACAGAGATCGAACATGCCCAGCTTGGTAGACAAACGAAGAAATGAAGGCTGAGCCAAAGGTTTGGTGAGAATATCACCCAATTGATCCTCAGAACGAACATAAGGAGTCACCAGTTGCTTCCGGAGTAAGAGATCACGAATAAAATGGCAATCAACTTTGATATGTTTGGTGCGTTCATGAAACACAGGGTTATTGGCATTGAAGATAGCAGCCTGATTGTTACAAAACATGCGCATAGGAGTGGAAACAGAAAAGCCAAAATTTTGGAGAAAAGACTTAACCCAGAGCATCTCAGAAGCAGTATGAGCCATGGCGCGATATTCAGCCTCGACACTAGAACGAGCAACGACGGTTTATTCCTTGCTACGCCAAGTGACAAGATTACCACCAACAAAAGTACAATAGCCTGAGGTGGAACGGCGGTCAGTCGTATTACCAGCCCAATCAGCATCACTGAAGCCAGTGACAGACAAGGAGGAAGATGGGCGATAGAGCAACCCCCGACCTGGAGCACGCTTTAAGTATTGCAAGATACGACATACAGCCACAAAATGGGGTTGGCAGGGAGCATGCATAAACTGACTGACCACACCCACAGCATAGGTAATATCTGGACGAGTGACAGTGAGATAGATTAACTTGCCAACCAACCGACGATAACGACCAATATCAGGAAAGAAGTCGCCAGTGTCACCAGCAAGCTTGACACTAGAATATATGGGAGTATCACTAGGGCGAGTGCCTAAGAGACCAGTCTCAGTAAGAAGATCAAGAACATACTTCCATTGAGAAAGAAACAAGTCCTAAGAAGAACGGGCAACTTCAATCCCAAGAAAATACTGAAGATGGCCCAAGTCTTTGGTGTGAAATTGTTGTCTCAAATACTGCTTCAAATCAGCAATACCATTGAAGTCACTCCCTGAAATGATGATGTCATCCACATAGAGAATAAGAACAATACTCCCAGTAGACGAGTGGCGAACAAAAACAGAGTGATCAAAAGTGGAACGGTGAAAGCCATAGGCAAGCACAACAGCACTGAAGCGATCAAACCAGGCACGAGGGGATTGCTTAAGACCATACAAGGCCTTCTTCAATCGACAAACAAGATGCTCTTGGCCGGGAACAACATAGCCAGGGGGCTGATCCATATAGACCTCCTCGTGGAGATCACCATGGAGAAAAGCATTCTTGATATCCAGTTGATATAAAGGCCAAGACTGATTAACTGCAATAGTCTCCAAGTAATCCGAACAGAGAAAAGGTCTCCAAGTAATCAACACCATAGGTTTGGGTGTAGCCTTTAGCTACCAGGCGAGCCTTAAGTCGCTCAACAGTTCCATCAGGAAGATACTTAACAGTATAAATCCAATGACAACCCACAATAGATTTGCTAGATGGCAGAGGGGTAAGGTCCCAGGTCTGATTTTGATGAAGAGCATGCATTTCCTCATCCATGGCAAACTTCTAACTAGAGATAGACATAGCCTCAAGATAGGTGCGAGAAATGGAAATACTAGGCAAGCTACAAGCAAAAGAGTGAAGACCAGGAGAGAGGCGATCATAAGAAATGAAATGAGCAATAGGATGTTGAGTGCAAGTACGTTTACCTTTACGGAGGGCAATAGGAAGGTCATCAGATGGTAGAGCAGCAGGTGGAACAGGGGCCTCAGACGAAGGAGATGAACTGGTCGGGCCATAAGACACAATGCGACGAGCTTGAGACCGTTGATAAACATGCAAAGGAGGGGTAGAAGTGAGAGGAGAGGGAGAGGATAGAGGAGTGGATATGGAAGGAGCATAAGAGGGAAGAGTAGGAGTGAGAGAGGCTGGCTCCCCCTCACGAAAAGAGAGAAGATCAGTAGATAACTGTTGCCTAGAGGAAGAAAAAAACGGAGTAGACTTAAAAAACGTTACATCAGCACTGACAAAGTAGCGACGAGACTCAAGATGATAACATCGATACCCTTTTTGAGTGCGAGAATAACCTAAGAACACACACTTGCGTGCACGAGGAGATAACTTATCCAACCCAGGGTCAAGAACATGGACAAAGGCCACACAACCAAAAATGCGAGGAGGCAAGGGAAAAGGAGATGTGGTGGGATATAACAAAGAATAGGGAGATGTGCGTACAACACTAGAGGGCATGCGATTGATAAGCAAACAAGCAGTGAGAACAGCATCGCCCCAAAACTGTTTGGGGACATGCATATTAAACATCAGGGTGCAAGCAACATCTAGCAAATGGCAGTGTTTTCGTTCTGCAACACCATTTTGTGGGGATGTATGAGGACAACTAGTTTGATGAATAATACCATGAGCATCACAAAAAGTAGTTACAATAGATTGCACATATTCTAAGGCATTATCAGACCAAAATAGCTTAATACGTTTGCCAAATTGAGTAAAGATTTCATTATAAAACTTAGAGATGATGGAAGGCAAATAAGATCTTTGTTTCATTAAAAACAGCCAAGTCATCAGAGAGTAATCATCCACAAAATAACAAAATAAAAGAACCCATTAACAGTAGGAGTTCTAGAAGGACCCCAAATATCTGTATGGACAAGAGCAAAAGACTCTGACACACGACTAACACTACGACGAGGAAAAGAACTACGATGATGCTTCCCAAATTGACAGGTTTCACACTCAATTTGAGAAACATGACTCAAACCCGGAACAGTTAACTTGAGCTTGGCCAAGGAGGGATGACCCAAGCGAAAATGCCACTAAAGAGGAGATACACTAGCACTCAACACAGCAGATGGAGGAGGAGACGTCTCAGCGTCCAAAAAGTATAAGCCATCCTTCTCATGCCCCAAACCAATCATCCTCTTGGTCTGGAGGTCCTGCAAAACACATGAAGTAGGAGAAAAGGTTATCGAACAATGGAGAGCTTGAGTCAATTGGCTAACAGAAAGAAAATTAAATGGAAATTTAGGAACATAAAGACCAGAAGGTAAGGACGTGGATGGAGTGGGATGAAGAGGACCTTGACCACAGACAGGTCGAGAAGATCCATCAGCAAGTATAATGGTATGATCAACAGGTCTAAGAGTATCAAAAAGAGAGGAATTACCAGAGACATGAGAACTAGCACCAGAGTCTAGAAGCCAAGGCTGAGAGGACTTAGCCACACATGCAATATTACCTGAACTAGCCATGGTAGCAGTAGAGGAAGAAGGTAAACTAGGCTGGAGAGACTGGACAAGGGCAGTAAGCTCACTAATTTGAGTAGTGAGTGTCTCATGCGAAGTAACAGGAGAAGCATCCAAGCTAATGGACAACAAGGAAGACTGTGAGGAGGGGACATCCATAACCTGATGGACATGATCAGGTCTGCCATGCTTTTGCCAACACCAAGGTTCAGTATGACCTTGGGAACCACAATGAGTACACTTGCGATCGGCACGTATACGAGAACCAGGTCCACTACTACTTCCACTACGGAAACCACCACGTGAGCCACCACTACGAGAACCACCTCCACGAGAGCCCCGTGAACCAGAAGAAGAGCTCCGGGAACCAGAAGAACTATGAAAACCCCCGCGAGTAGACCCATGATCACCACTACTAGAAACCAATGCAGAAGATGATAAAGAAGAGGACCCAGAAGTGGATTGTGCTTGTCCTAATGAAGAGCGTAACAGCCTAGAATAGGCATTGGCAGCTGAAGGTAGAGTGTCACTGGCAAGAATCTGATCTTTGAACCCTCGCAACTCAGGATCTAAGCCAGAAAGTAAAGAAGCCATCATAAACTCCTCCCAATGTTGTTTCTGGGTGGTCATATCAGTAGTGAAAGGTCGATGCTGCAATGACTGATCCCACAAAGTCTTGAGACTACTATAATAATCAGGGAAAGATTGGCCAGATTGACGCATAGCAAAAATCTGTTCATATAACTCGTAGACCCGAGAGACATTACTTTGATTTGAAAAAGACTTAGCAAGGGAGTCCCAAATGGCCTTAGAGGTATCACAAAATTCCACGGTAGTAGCAACCTGCGGTTCCAGACTATGCCAAATCCAACCTATCACACAAGAATCCTCACAACATCAATCATCATAATCCTTATCATCAGTAGGAGGAGGGAGTTCACTAATATAGCGGGACTTCTTCTTACCTCGTAAGAAAATCTTGACAGCATGAGCCCAAGCCAAATAATTAGCACCATTCAATTTCTTTGTAGTGATAGATTTAGGCATGTCATCATCTTTACCCATAGTTATAGCCTTAGCCTCAAT